AAAGCAACATTCCTTCTCATCCACTTCTGTCAATTCCAACACTGTCACTCAAATCACTGTTCGGGAGAGTGGGGAGAGGCCGAGTTAGTGGTGTCCCTCGTAGCAAGGACTGTGCTTTTCGGTCTGAGCTTGGGTGACGTGTCAGCACCTAGCAAAAGTTATTTTGAGTTGTGATTATTATTATTCTTCTAATATTTTTTACTTTTCAAAGTAATACAGTAATAGAGATACAAAGTAAATGACGTAAGTAGAAGTTCCAAAAGAGAGAACAAAAGCAGAATGCTCTTTAAGTAGAAAGTCTCATACTCATTGTGTTGTGCTTAATAGTAAAGGCTATCAGTCATGGTGTTGTTTTTAACCCTACGTTTTCTGTATGAAATGAGTATCTGGCAGGACATGAGATATCCACCGCATTATCTTAGTCACTCCTTATCCTGCTCTGTAAAAGAGACCCAGCAACATATTTATCCTCCAACCACATTTTGACTCACCGCCACAGTTTTATTGTCACGTCGTATCTAATTGCTACAGCAGCTTTGTGGCATTTGATGTTCGTGCTTCTCACAAACTGTGCTTTTTTTCTCATGATGAGCAACAATGATTCAGCAGTGCGTAAGAAAACCTATCATGCAAGATGGTGGACAGTTCCTTTACTGGTATTAGTACAAAAGGGAAAAAAAACACCCTAGTCTTCAACCACAGTGCCACATCATAGCGAAACAACAGACGCTATTGATCTGGGTGAGTCGACAGTTTCATACCCAGTGTCTTCCTCAACCTCCACCTTGCATGAAGCCCTTGAGGCTTGCTGGTTCCTCTCTATAGGCCACGCCACTGTGCTTCAATACAGCAAACAACAACTAGCTGCAGGTGCTGTGTTTACTAAAACTCGCTATGAGTCAGGGGTTTCAAGATGACTTCCCTCTTCTAACTGCTACTTGCAGTGAAATAAAATGTGGTCCCATACACCGATATGGTGTCATAATGACCATATGTCACGGAAGTTGCCACGGTTGAAGAAGAGGTGGGGTAATAAATCAGTAATAAAATTCATTTTATATCTCTGCATGTTTGTTTTCTCATATCAGTCCTTTTCCCTGTTTCTTATCGACAGGTACAGTATGTGAATGGCCAACACTAGAATGTGGATAAAAAGCAGAATTAGGTATTCATGATGTATGCATGTATATATAAATGGTATGTATTTGGAAACTCTTTAAGTAAGACCACTACTGTAAATAGATACCGAATATATTTAATTTAGACAGTTGTAGTTACATTATTAAGCCTTATGGAAAAGATAGCATCATCGAAGTACATTAACACTCATGATTTTTTCAGTGTTCTTCCCGCTCAGAGAATGAAAGAGGGATTTAGTGAGAGAGGGTGTGAGTTGGAAGCCTCTCCACCCACAGATAAGACTTGCTCTCTCTGCATCTCTAAGCAGACTGTCATCCCTGGTCACCATCAGGTCTGTGCTCACCCCAGTGAACATTCAACGCTGTCGGTGAGTTTCAGCTAAATTGAAAAAACCATCGACCGTTGATTGTACCCTGTGGCCAGCTGTTGTCACTCAGTGTCTCAAAAAAGAAGGAAAAAGAGTCAAACCTTACACAGAAACCTGCACACAGGCATGGCCAATGACTCCTTGAACAATTGCATGAAGAGCACTATGTCTATCCTCCACAAACAAACAAACAAAAAAATACTTCCAGCTTCCAAACCACAGCAAAGGTCACAATCAACATTCATTGCTGTCGGTGGGTTTAACTGTGTGGAAGAGCTCACTGAACGATGAATGCAACTGTGTCCCAGATTTCATCCGAACGTCAGAAGGAATAGCATCAAGATATGCTGATGATGGCATTATTTATTTCTTCGCCCCCCCGCCTCCCACCGACAACAGGCACACACAGGCGGTGTGAATTGACAGGCAGTTCAGATTGCATCTCGATCACGCTTGCTGGGGCGGAGGGGTCCGAGTCTGGCTACAGCAGCAGAGGAAGAAGAAAAGAGATAAAAAAGATAGTTGGAAGAAAATGACCTTTAAAGAAAAATACACAGATTATACATGGTTTGCATTGCTTTTATGAGCTGTTAATGATTAAGTTGTTGTAAATATTACATGAAAAATAAACTGCAAGGATATGTTAAGTATGTACAGATGAATCCCAACATGGTAAGTGACCTTTTTGGATGAAAAAGAATTTAGACATTAAAAGTCATAATTTCATCAGCCGAATTCTTCAAGATAAGACGGTCAGATAAATCCCTAAAATGTAAATCTAAATATGTTAAAAAGCCATAATTTTTTTTATGTTGAAGTCAGTTTGGTAGAACAGATACTTCCACAGCTTTCAAATGTAGACCTGTCATTTTGGAACACGGCTGTATATTATGTGGAATAAAATATATACTTGTTTTTCATTCATGTTTCATTGCTGCCTGGCAAACCATTCAAGAACCATTATGTTGTGTTAACTGTAATACTGATGCATGCTATTCCATGTTGTTGTATTTTATCAAATAAATTGTCACCACCAGTTCCTAAGAGATGTTGTGGGTCTTTCTTTGTTCCTTTGTTCTTTGGTTTGGTTAGAGGAGATGTTAAAGTGACGAGAATGAATGTAACAGAGTCAAATCCTTGTCCTTTAAACATTAAGTAAATTCATTTAAGTAAAAACAATCTGCTGTAAATTAATGGTAATGATCAAAGCACTACCGTAAATATATTGAATATTGATAGGCTATTTTTTGGGGGGTTTTTGGGGGGTTTTTGTCCAGAAACATGTAGTGGCCCCCATTCATACTGCAAGAAACATGTTGAACAATTTCTAAATAAAATTTGTTTTTATATATATATACATATATGTATACGTATATTAGTATGATATATCATACAAGTATTAATATATATATATATATGACATATATGTATATAGATATACGGTATATAGTACAAATAATAGTAAGTCATATACTATAGAATTGTTCGTATATATATAGTCACTATCATACATTATCATATATATAGAATTTGGTTTATATACTATACCCTGATATCGATCAATATATTATATATAATTTGTTTATATATATAATATATATATATATATATATATATACACACACACACACACACACACACACCTTTTCCCCACCAGGATTATATTAATATTTTATAGAAATGTTGGTTTATTTTGGTTAAATAACTCTACAGTTATGCACACACAATCCCAAAAAGCTGTCTGAGCAGTCAGATGTTAAAATAAAAAGAACTTGCAAGTGACAATGACAACAATCTTTATAACATTTTTAGGACTCAAGATGCAAACAATTCATACTATTTTTCCCCACTGTTATGACTCTTTATTTGCCTAAATTCAATTAAACCTCAATAGAGACTACACTATGTAATTATAAGATTCATATTTTTTCTATCATTTCAGGTTAAATGGCATTTCAGTTCTATTAAAATCTAAGATGAGAGATGCAATCTAAATAAAATTAATATGAAACAGTTTTAGTTATAGCCAGCTGCTTATTCAGCTCCAGCACATTTTGCAAAATACAATTTGAGACATAGTATAATTGCAGTAAATCAAACTTGAATCATTTGTATTTTCATGAGCAAAATATATTGCATACAGACTACACTGTGACTCTTCTTTGTGTGCGTGTGTGTGTGCATATGCTAAGCTCATTTGTCTTTTCCTGTATAAATGATTACAGTGACACAGTACAGTCTGTGCCTTCATGTTTACTTGCTGGTGTAGTTTGGTTCAGTCTGTAAATGATAGAAGTGTGCTGATAAAACACGCATACATAATTAGGTACTGACTAACTTTAACAGAGAGTTATATGCTTGTTTTTGCAGGCTTCTAGCCTATGCAGCTGGGAAAGTACCTGTACAGTATTTCAATAAAAAAACCAAACAGTGCTGATTCTGTATCACAACCACTGCTTGACCAGCAGAAGTGCTGGTGCAACTGGAAAACCCCTCTTTATTTGGACTTTTAGTTTCATTTATGCACCACATGGGTTATAACAGTAATTTTAAGTTTTCATATTAGTCTTGTAATATAGTAATGGACATGTACAGTATCGCCAAACTTTGAAATATATATATTTTTTTAATACGCTGCTGTTTTATGACTATGCCTATATTATTAAAAAAAATGTCTGCACATGTAAGACCATTATCTCAAATTTAAATGTGCGCATGGAAAAGCAACTATTTAGATAAGATACACAGCCCTGCTCAGTAATATAATGTGTCGTCATGGTGTTTATTTTAAAAACCACACTGATGAAAGAAGAAAGCTTTGGCTGACCACTAGCAAAAAATGGTGTTCTATGAAACTGGTTGACTCATGATAACAGTAATTGAAGGCCATTATTTCCAAATTAGATGCCATCATTTAAAAAAGAAAAAAAGCCATCCATTCTTGCAAAGCTTTGTGGCCAGAATTGCATGGCAGCCAAAATTGCAAACATTTGTACAGTTTCTCTGATTCACAAAAATTAAAATAAACTTAAGGTTGTGAAAATGAAATTGAGTTGTTGAATATCTTGTTAAATAAGGGTATTAGGCTTGACCACAACATACAGTTCTGCAAGGAAGAACTGTTTGCAACATTAACCCCACACACTAATGCTAATGCATCAAAGTCGATGAAGACAGTTACTGCAAGAAGAGAATCTAGAACTCTAGACTGAAGCCAAAATCAATGACTTTGTTTGTCCACTAGAGGGACACCAAAGAAAGGATGTGAAAATGACAAAAGAGTCATCCAGCTAAGTTTGTCATTTGTATTTTACTACATTTACATAAATGAAAAAAGGGGTAAGGCAATGTATAGCAATAACAGTAGAAGTAAGTCATTATAATGAAAAGAGAGCACATCAAGAAAACTATATATACTATATTATTAATAATAATAATATTGTATTATAACAGATCTCAATGAAGGGGGTTTATTTTAAGAACTATAAAAACCAAAAAATTGTCAATACACCTTATTATTGTACTACTCCTTGGATTTAATAGTTTAATTATTACAGGTAATTGTTTTCATGAAATGAATTTCATTAAAAAAAGTCAACGCTATAGATCAGGTGTTTTACTCACCCTATAGGTTGAGCACATGCTTTGATTCTTTTGTTAAACCTGAGGATGATTTTCAATTATTAGTATTAATGCCTTTTGTGTAAAATAAAGAATAATTCAATAATCAAAAAAGTGTTTTACCCTGAGGAGATAACAAATGGAATAAAAAGTAGTAGTGAGATGAGATTGTGACAACTTTTCAAGTAAAGTAACTTCAATTTGAGATTTCTTTGACCAATTTCATTAGTTTTACTAGCTAACAAAATGATGTAGATTATGACAATTACTGACAGCTGTAACCCGATGATGTTAACTAACAATCGGTCAAACAGTCCAATGATCTTAACATCTTAAGTGCTTATATACTACCGACAAACTTAATCACCCAGTTTCACTATACTGACACTTGTAAAAGAATCAGACACATAAAAGTAAGTACTACTATTGGACACTATCATATCATTGGCTTGCCTGTAATGCTTTTTTTTTTTTTTTTAAATAACAAATTGGCACAACAAAAATGGAAATCAAGCTATGTAAACAAATTCACATCACATTTTATACATTAAATTTCTTGAAAAAAACAAAAAACAACCTATCATACAGCATACCAGTTATCAGCCTCTGCTAAATTCCCCGTCATCATCAACAATACAAAAATAGCGTGACTCACTGCCAGACCTAATTTGTTAATACCACTCTCCCAGCTTCTTTGGAACTTTTTTTTTTACGACATCATGCATCGACTTGTTTATGTGCAATATGACACCAGTTAATTTGATTATGCTGAAAGGCATTTGAAATTGGTTGTGGATCAATTTGAAAAAGTCATTAGTACTGCAGCAGTCGTGAAGAAAAGTGTCCTACTGGGAAAAATGTTTTTGTAAAATAAGTTTGTCATGCTGATTTGTCGTGACTTCGGAAAGACCCGCAGCCTCACAATTTTGACTTTCACATCATGTTCATGTTCTATGCACAATTATATTATTACTCCCTTGGGTTTTTTGTGGAATCATTATTTTTGTCACGTGGGCCGGTTAAAAGCAGTGTAATGAGGAAATACACATGAAATATACATATATAAAAAAAAATAATAATCAGGCAGCTTCATTATTAACACAATTTCAAAGTGGAATCTTTAAGTAGTCACTTTAAAATGGAAAAAAAGCCAAATTACCATCACTGTTCAAAGGATGTAAATATTATCAGAGGTTGTCATATGCTTAACAAATGGTATATTGCTGAAGGATGGAGAATTATTTTATAGCAGAAAGACAATTAAATGCTGGGTAACAGCTCAGAGGATCCCCACCCAACGTTTGAGTGCAAAATTGTTCAAAGGAGGGTTGTGTTGTACCCTGAAGTAGTGGTATTTTACCCTCTGTGCATTGGCAATTTGCTGCTGTTCATACCCCCTTCCAGTGGGGGTCACTACTGTCTGATGTCTGCTGGTCTGAGCTGCCTTTCACCCTCGGCCAGAAAGATCTGCATGGCCCGGTAGAGCAGGTGGATGCCCAGCTCCCGTTTCTTCTTCAGCTGCCAGTTGGACACCACGCCATAAAAATCCCCTCGCTTCTGATTGGTGAGCATCTTCAACCCTGGGACAAATGGAGAATTAAGTAGGTTGTTGACATTCTGGACTGGCGTAAGATCAATGTTCTCCGAGTTTATGGATTTTTACATAAATAAACAATGTCCAATGTCAAAAACTGGCACCTATCAATATCTATGCTCAATAGATGAACATGTCAACGGTATTTGTGAGATTACAGGTACTTTGGTTTCACTTTACGTTACGTTATTACTTAAAATTTGTGAAAAGGTGAGTTTACCTATAACAGCCAGTGCTTGCAAGTTTCAAAAAGAAAACAATGAAAAAACATGCTAAATGTATCCATTAACTTGGTGTTTAAGGAACACAGTTGACCCAGTCAATCAAATAGCTAGTGTATAGGACAATATCAGCTTTGTGATCATCCCATTGACTTAATTTATAGCAAATGCTGGAGTGATATAAGACCCTGATACCAAGCAGAATGGTGTGAATGAGCATTTAAACAGGAGTTCTCCAATAGACCACTGTCTGCTACTCACCGATGGCCTCCACCATGCAGGCCTCTCTTGTGTAAGCCTCCACTGGAATTACGTTCTGGAAACAATGCAGAGAGATGACGCCCTGCTCAGCGTTCCACACCTGAAGGATGTGCTGCACTTTGGGACACAATTTCTGTCACGCAGAGAAGAAAGGGACAGTATTTTATATATCTGCATATCATTCTTTTATACATCTATTTATATCTTTATTTACATGAGACTGATCAGTGTGCACTGCATTACCTTGGAGGTCTTGTCTCCTTTGAAGTACTCTAAAGCTTCATACAGGTGGCTGTAGGGCCGGGAGCGTTTTCCTTTGCCCACATAAAATATAGCGTGGATAAATGTCTGGAAACACTCCTGTGGAGTCATGGTGCGACTGCGGAATGGGAGGTTTTTGGTCACTCTGGAAGAAAAGAAAAACAAAGATCCATTTAAATACATGTTCAGGGTGGATGGTGTTTATCCAACAGAGGTGTTGGTAGTTAAAAGTCCAGTGTGTAACCTTTAGGAGGATCATCTGCAGAGTCCACCATGTTGAACTAACAGGTTTTTACAGAAGACATGATTTTCATGTAAAATAAGTTTTGTCACATTAAGTACATTTTTGTGCACGCCAAATATCATCTTCCTTTAGAAAGCTTTTAACATTGCCCAGAAGAAAGCAAAGTAAAACACAAATCAACATGAGACACAGGAAACCTTGGGTCGAGCAGCAGGTAGTTGAAGCTGGACTTGATGATGCCTTCCCTCCACTTTCTGTTTTGATCTGGTTGGTCAAACTGCTCGCACAGAGCCTGCTCATCAGTCTGGCAATCGGGCAGCTCGAAGGTCCTCAGGGCCCGACACAATTCTGAACTATAACCTAAATCTACACAAATAAAATAAGAATAAATGAATTGACTTGCTAATGACAAGCGAAATTATAAGTGCATTAATATGCCTCATTCATTCAGTGGTTCTAATCTAATCCACCCACAGTTATGCTAGAATCCCCCAAACAATTTAAAAAAAAACTCTTTTATGTTACCTTTATCTTGTCACACACTCCCCATTTTGCTATCATAACTAAATCATAGCTCAAGTTAGGTAAATAGTTATCAACAACTTTAAACTTAAACTAACTTGTTGAGTGATACCTGTTTGTGGCTGGTCTAACTGCTTCTGGTGGTGTGGCAATTGGGAGTTTGACTCGTGCAACAGGCGGCACAACCTTCGCACGTAGGTGGGCCTGGTGCGGCTGCTGATAGGGCCGGGGCTCTCCCCCAACTCTACTAGCCTTAATCTCAGCTCCTTGTCAGTCATCCCTTTGGTCTCCGACAACAAACTGTGCTCCTCGTTTTCCTCCTTCTGTAGCAGCGTCGGGGGCTTCTGGTTCTCCTTTCCTCTGTTCTGCATCATGTCAGTCTGCATGGAGCTCCAGTCATAAAGGATGGTCTCCTCGCTGCTGCTGGTACTTATGCTGGAGCTGAGTGAGGTGTTTGCTGTAGGAGGGACGTGGATCTCAATCAGCTTATGGCCCTGTTCTGTATCAGTGTAGAGGTACTCCACTGGTTCGTCCAGATCCTGTATGAGTGGACGCCCTCCAGGGGTGTAGGAGAGGCTGGCCAAGTGCTGTGGCCTGCGGCAGCTTGACAGCCGGCTCATGCTGTACCTGGGGGTGCTTCCTGTGCTTGGAGTGCAAGTAAGGTCAGAGCTTTCCCTGGAGCTCCTTGGAGAAAAATAGCTGGAGCTGGATGAAGATGACACAGAGTCTGGCTGAGAGCTACAGTCCTCAGTGATCCAGAGATCTTCATTTATTGGGCTGTCTACTTTGTCCTTACCAGGGGCTTGATTTTTGTTTCTTTCTGTTGTTGCCTCATCTGTACTTGTCAGATCATCAGTCAAAAAGTCCCTGCCTTCAGCAAGATCGTGGCCTTGCATGGCCAGTATAACCTCTGCGAGGTTTCTTTCATAAGCATCCATTGAGGAATCCTGTTTTTTCTCCAATACGACTGTGTCGGACAAAGTCTGTGATTCAGAAAGCGAGTCAGTTCCGCTCCGGGAGAGGATGAGAGTGTCAGCCTGGCTACTGCTAAGACTTGAACCAGCTCCGAGGGTGCTGGACTGCGTGTCCTGGCAATCAGCAGGCAAGGAGTCTCCTCCTGTGCTACTCCCTGAATAGGATGGCGTATAATAAGGTGGATGTGGTGAACTATAAAAGTCTTCACTGCTCTGAGACCTGGGAGTCTGGCGGCGTGTTCGAACTGGTGTAGGGAGGGTCTCTTCGAACAGAGAAGACGTGATGAGGAGGCTCTCCGGTGTCCTGCTTGTTCTCAGTGAGCAGCGACTTAACCTCGAGCGAGTCCTGCCTGTTACAAAAGGACTTGGTGTGAATGGAGGGTCAGAGTTGTCCTGTAACGTTTCAGCTGCATCATCCACAGGCTGGAAATTGGCACCTTGTGCGGCCCTGTCCACAACAGGACCACCAGAAGCCTCAAATTCATCATTATTTGGGCGTTTCAATTCAGATAGGGCCAGTTTATCAAGCATATCTGGCAAGTGCTCTTTGGTTTCAGGTTTTGAATCAATGTGGGGTTGTGTGTGAACAGGTGGAAGATTCCCACCTTGCCTTGTAAATTCAAAGTCACAGTCTGTAGAAATCTTTTTGTCAGATTCAGTCCCAACAGAAACCTCCTCTACCGCAGGGAGTAAAAGACGTCTGGGGTGTTGAGATTCATCCAGAGCACTGGTGTAATGATCGCTCTCACAGCTACTGTAATGACTACCAGTCCCACTGCTACTGCTGCCAACGTGGAAACAGTCTGGCTGCTCTGGTATATTTACCTGAGCCTCTTTTACATGTTCATCCTCCTGTTCATCCTCACAGTCTTCCAAAGCACAGTGACTGATGACTGTTTTCTCCATGTCCTCATCTGTGCTCTCACTGCTCTCTCTGCAAAAAACATAAACGTGATCCGGGGATGTGACGTCGATGCCCTGCTTGTGTAAAACAGTGGCCATGCGTTCTGAATCCAGGAAGTCAGAGTACTCAGACAGGTCAAATGGTAAGCTAATGCCACTGACAGGAGACTGCTGTTGGGGAGATTCAGGACTAAAAACGGGGAAATATTCATCTACATCTCTGAAGCTCACACTCTTACGGCTCGCTCGCCTTGTGGCAAATGCTGGGAGCGTGTCTCTTCTAGAGGGGGAGATTCTGCCATCAGTTACAGCACCATGTTCATTTACTTTTGATGTGAACACACCATCATAAGTGCATAAATCATCCTCCTTAAGAATTGGCATTGCAGCTGCCGGTCCCACTGCAGACATGCGAGTGCTTGATAGTATGGAGGGACCTTCAGATGACCAATGTGAGGAGGAATTGTTCCAGTGATGCCTCTTATTGTCCATATCAGAAAGTCTGTTAAACGATATCCCTCTGCAACTTGGCCTTCCATTAATGTTAGACATGTTGAAAAATGACGAGCGCCTTGTGCTGCTCAATGGGGCTTCACCAAAGTCACTTATCATAGATGAGTGGGAACTGAAGCTGTAGTCTGATTCAGGATAGCTGGACATGTCGGTTTGGTCTGAATATACAGCTGTGGAGATGAAAAAAAAAGAGAAAAGTCGATACAGAAATGAACACAGTCCTTGCAAGAGTGACAAAAATGCAAAGAGGAAAAAGTATAAATGTAGCTGTATCTGATCTAGTCTTTATAAACCACCAGTAGGAAAATAGTGAGTGTTACTGGCAAATTTCAAAGTAAACTAGGCAGTGGTGACGGGTATTGACAAAGTATTTTTCTTTCTAGGAGTCTCCATATTGATATGCTACGAGATATTGTATCAGATATGAATGTTTTTGAAATTTCATGGGATTTAAGGGAGTTTACACTTGAGATCGGTATGTTACGGTCACTGTGATAATTATTAGTATAATAATAGTATTACTAAAATATGCAGCCAAGCATGCTGTTTAACATTTGACTGGCTGAATAAACACTAATACACTGTATCTCCATGCCATTTCTAACATTACTGGATAAGTATTGCTTTCTTCAAGTTTTCCAGTTATGAAATAACACAAATTGAACAAATTCACATTCAAGTGTTTTTTTCTGGATTAAGTTTAGTAAGTAACCACCAACAAGAGACTTTCTTACAGTATTGGAATTGAGGCAAGTCCTCCTCTTCTGTGTCCACTGAGCTGCTCTGATACTCCTGAAGGATCTGGGCACATTTCCGATTCTCCTGTTGCTCCGCAAGCTGCCCTGGTGTATTCCCTTCCTAAATAAATTAAGGGGATATTAGGCATAAACTAAACATTTAAAGCCACAGAGTAGTTATCTTGTTACAGATCAGGTATTTTCTCATTGTATTAGTTTTTGAGATGCTACAATAGCATCTCAAAAACCTAACAAAACTACTAACAATGTATTATGCTAAACATTTAACTATGAATTGTTTCTCAGTGTCCTGGTCAGCTGTCTGAAACTAGCTAAAAACAATTCTTACATTATCTTTACTGTTTGGGTTCCCTCCATTCATCAAGAGCAGTTTTAGATTTTGATAGCATCCCCACAGCGCAGCAATGTGAAGAGGAGTCAGGCCCTCTGATGACCTGGAAAAAATACAAGAAGAAAAAAAACAACAACTTCAAATCACATACACAAGAAAACCTTACATTATCATTATGCCCAATGAATTTTGACAGCGTCTCATGTCTATATTTTGACATTTTTCCAAAAGGAACAGGAAATTGGAAACGTCAAAATGTCAGCAGAAGAAGGTCACAAATATTTACAATACCTGATATTGGGGTTCGCTCCATATTGCAGCAAAATTTTCAAGCAGCGCGTGTTCTTTTCGGTTTCTTTGCCAGCAGCCAAGTGTATTGCTGCCACCCCTTTACCACCCACCAGGTCGGGGCATGCACCTTGTGAAAGCAGCAGCTGCACAGATCTACCAAGGAAGAGAGAACTGTTACAATCTGATTCCAACACACAGCACAGTTGCATGTCATCTTATACACTTATACAATAGGTCTGTGAGCAGTACTCATTTTGGTAAATGTTTAGTATTTGTTGAGCTAGCGCAACTCAAGAGTAATTGCAGAAGCAGTAGATGATGTCGTCTTTCAGTCAACAGACAGACAGTCTGCTTGTGTCTTTATTTACTTTTTATGGACGTTAAGTGCAGTTCTTGAAGCTAACTGCTGTTTATCTTTAAAACAGTGTCTGACAGCAGTCACTGTGTGCACTGTTGCCACCAGTTGTTCCTGCATTTGACACAGAATACTCTCAAAACATTGACAGATATGGAGGGGATATCATACCTGCACCTCTTGCAGTCATTATACCAAACTGAAAGCCACTTTAGCAATATCATTATCAGGTGTTTTTAATATGCTTTTTAAAATATTACTACTATGCTATTTATGTTTGTTTTTTTGTGTGTTGTTATGTTTA